ATTTCCTCCATGAAACCTTGTTCATCCATTATGACCCATAACCATCTCCCTTTCACCTACCTTCTGCAGCACTTGTTAATACTCTCTCCTTGAGCACTTACTTATTTTCTAATTATTTTATGTGCATCAAGTTTATTGTTTTGTTTGCTTGTTTTTCCCTCTAGCAAGATTTTAGGTTAAATAGAGATACTGGCCACTTACTCTTCTCTTTTCTACCTCACTGTGCCACTCCTGGACCTGACATAATTCTCATAAGCACAAAGAAGACCTCAGAAAAAATACTGGTTGTTGACCACAGGTGGAAAAGAAGGTGATGCTGAAAATTGGGCTAGAACCTAAACATTGCAAAACACAGTCTACATGTTGTTGCTTTTTTAGTAAACCATGATCTCAATGATCTTAGCTCTAATATGCCATTCTCTTTAAAGTAGAGCACACAGCATATACTTTAGTTGAGAATTTTACTGTGGGAGTATTAAGGTACTGTTATCAATATTATTTCAACATGGAGATTGGAAAAGTTAGAACTATCATACAACTTTGCTTTATACATTTGTGATAGAAAATGGCATCAACCTCATGTTACGTCTTAAAACTGCAAGTGGTAGAAAGACTTTTCACTAGGCAAAAAGATCTGGTTCTAATCCCAGTTTGACCATTAATTAGCCTTGTGACTTTGGGAAAGTCTTTTAAGCAACTGAAGTCTCCTTTTTTTTCATCTCAGTAATAAAAGGGTTTAACCGGATAATCCCCTAAGGCTCCTTTCCACCCATAAGATTCCGTAGTGCTTATCATATCAACCATGTGGATCCTTTATTGTCTCTGGATATCTAAACACAAGTATCTGCCAGGACCCAATCATGAGGTTCAAAGCTCCTAAAGTGATCATAGAACAGATGATCAGATACTACTCTGTGAAAATGTTCTGCCTATACCTTGCTGTGACGGTTACTCCTTTTGGACTACACTGTGAATTTTAAGCTACATTTCGATGCTGAGATTGTGTGCATAGCACTCTGCAGGTGTTGAAGACTGGTCAGAATTATTGTCAAAGACAGCTGCTCAGGATACTGACAGTTTTCCACTGTCATGCCCTCATCTATCTTCCCAGGTAAAATCGTAAAAGCCTCAGGTGTCTGAATGAATGATTAAATTCATTCCACAAATATTTATCAAGTGCCAGTTGTGTGCTAAGTGCTAGAGTGAAATGTGAGGGGTTTCTGATCTCTGTGTACTACGAACCCCCTTTTAGGCAGATTGGTGTCCTCGTCCACATTTCTTCTGCCTGAAAAGCTCTTTCTGAAATCATTTACTTTTTAGGAACATCTCAGCCAAACATTTTTTATTTCCACCAAGGGAAATTTGGCTTCTATGTCCCCTGCTGTCGAAAAGGAATTTTATGAAGTGTTAAAATGTTTTCCCATGTCGGTGGCAGTCATTGCTATAGTTCATGCATGGAAAAAAAATAAATCCCCATAACTGCTTTAGCAATGTGACAGGTTTTCTATTTCTCTTCAAAATTGTACTGATGGCTGTATTTGCCAATGCATTAAATGCTGGAAACATTATTTCCATTAAAAAAAACACCTCTTTGGTCTCAAGGAATAAATATCAAGAGAAAATAATTTGTGTAAAAATTTCAAAATCAAGGATGAGCACAGAGTGTTCTATTTCACAAGATGCCAAAGGTGATGGTGGAGGACAGTCTGCCTGCCAGAACTGAAATGAACCTTTTTTTTTTTTTGAGGGGGAAGGGTAAACTTCCTTTCAGTCTCATGGAAAATATATATATACTAAGTCAAATAATTATGTTTTTTTTAAAAGAAAATATTTTTAATACCAAAATGTAATATAGAAATCAAGTCTTATACTCTGGAAGAATAAAGAACTAGAGTACGTGTTAAGTGAAATACAGCAATTCAGGAAACGTATAGCTTCTGGGAGCTAAAAATGAAAACTCTGTCACTTTGATAGGAGCCCAGGTCTAGGACTGGACTCTAGCCACTGCCCCATGTCAGGAGAGGGGAGTGTGTGTGGATAGTATTGGAAGACTCTGGGAAATAGTCGCTGAGTTACACTGGACAGAATCCATACATAAAAACTTTTTTTTACAAAAATTTTTTAAAGCCAGGACACTTTCAAATTCAGGAAAAGTAAGGTGTCAGTAAAGCTACTTTAAAGCAGAGATAATGTGTTATTGACTCTTTGCATAACTGAAAACGAAGTACAACTTAGTGTTTGTTTTCCAACCAAAGAAACTGTACCCAGGGAGAATCATGAAAGAGTAGCCACAGACAAAATGAGAGGATTTCTATTTAAGGAGACAAACCACTTAGGTGTGTAGACACCTTCTACACCAAGGTAGATGTATAACCTGCAAAGCCAAAAATAATTGCTATCTGTTTCTTTGCTTATAAAGTTTGCTAAGCCTTGTTCTAGAGGCTCCCAGAGCCAGAAAGAAGATTAGGTATGGTCTAGTACAGCTTCCTTTTGTCTTGGGATTCAAACAACTAAGACACTTTTTTCAGGTCGCAAAGCTAGTTAGTGATGGAGCTAAGACTTGACCAACACAGGTTTCCCAGCTCTGTCTTCCCTCTACATGCAATCCCAAAACAGTGTTGTATTTGTGAAAGCACTCCCTTGGCCCCACCTCTGTAAGTTTCCCCTGATGAGGCTTATTCAATGACTTTTACTTCAAAAAAAGTAGGACAGACTGGATTTTAGATGAAATGAGAAGGCTGAGGGCACACACTGAGAGAAATTGGTTCCAGCCTGGTAGACACAAAAGAAGTAGAGACCTTTTTTCCAGACACTTTTATTCTTGTGCACTGTGGCTCATTCTCCTCAATACAGTTTTGTAGAGAGGTAAATGCAGCTTGCTGCTCCATCACAACTTCCAATGTTTGACTTGTTTGCTTTGAAAATTCAACTTACCTGCAAGTTTCAGCACAGGGGTCCTTTAAGCCTTTCTTGGCCTCCCTTGGCATCCTCTGCAGCTCCCTTAAGCGGTTCTCATCCTGCAATTCAATCATGTATTTGTTGTCTCCCTCAGGGGCTCTGAGCAGCTCAAGGACCAGTTACATATTTGGCCCTTTTTTATCCCCATTGTCTAGTACAAAGTCTAGCACATTACACACCCCAGAGCTCATAAGATTTTGGCCCACCATATTATGGGTATAAATACATGATTTGAAGTTGGGCAGATGTAATTCCCATTCCTAACTTCATCACTTCTAAATATATGACCTTGGACAAGTAAATATACCTCTCAGTAAAACTCAGTTTCTTCATCAGTGAAATGGGCATTCATACTAACACCTACCTCAGAGGGTCATTGGAAAACTTACGTAAGATAACGTGTTACATCAGAGGTCCTCAAATTTTAGCATGCCTTGGAATCACGCAGAGAGCTTGTTAGAGCAGTCTGTTGGGCCCCATCCCTAGAGCTTCTGCTTCAGTAGGTCTGGGCTATGCGTGTTTGCCTTTCTAGTGAGTTCCCAAGTAATGCTGATGAACCATACTTTGATAACTACTGTTTTAAATCATCAAGCATGGTGCCTGGCCCAGTAAGGGCCAAGTAATTAGAAATTGCCTAGCACCATTATATGATTTTTACAACCATTAATGTAGTTAGTGTAGACCCAGAGGAAATCAGGGTTGCCATTTTGAGGGTCACAAAGAAGAAAAGATCCCCAGAAACTAGGTCTCTCCTCCTGCTGCTGTGTGACAGCTCTTATTTAGCATGGAACCAACTGAATACAGGGCAGGCTGAATGAGTCTGGACTTGTTTCTGTTATTTGTAATGGAAACTGCAAACGTACATATCACTGGTGCAGACAGTTGGTCACCCTGTAATTCATGCCTTCTCTCATCCATCAGTAATGGCAAAAGTTAAGTTTGATTATGCACTGTTGGTAAAGGGTAAGACAAATAAACTGAAAAACACTTCGGGAACGTAAATTAGAATGCAATGTGCCAGTACCTTTCAAAATTAAAACTTTGGATGCTCTTTTATCTATCCTTTCTACTGCGAAGAATTTTTTATAAAGATACTTATGTAAGGATTTCAGAAGATATGTTGGAAGACGCTTATAAGCAGCCTTATTGATAACATACATATGAATTTTCAAGATAAGTGAAAAAAGCAGGGTACAGAATAGCATATGTAATATTAGCTCCTTTGTGAAAGTAAAACCAGTTTCTCATAGAAAAATATACGCCATTTGTATTATATGCATAACCTTTTTTTTCTGGATGGATCTGTTAATAGTGGTTACTGGTTACCTTTCAAAAGAGAAATTGGTAGAGTTGTCAAGATGGGAAGGTAGACTTTTATTTTTTACATTGTCCCCTTTTTCTTCTGTACATGCATTACTTTCATTTAGTCAGTAGGGGTAATCTAGGCAGGAGATTTATCAGAGTTAAAAACTTAATAAGTGCTGTGTGTTTTGAGGAAATACTAGATTTATAATCTCATGGATTGTTTTGTCACTTTCCAAAATTTTTAAATATATGCATTAATAAAGGGCTCTACAACTCCCTGTAGTATACTTGCATTGATACAAACCTTTAAAAGTCACTATATGACTAATATCCTTCTGTTTTATTTGAATAATTTGATCATTTGTTGCTTGCTTGAAATTAGCTAAAAACATCCTATTTTTTTATATACTTTGATCAGTATGTTTTTCTTTTTTTTTTTTTTTTGAGACGGAGTTTCACTCATGTTACCCAGGCTGGAGTGCAATGGCACAATCTCGGCTCACCGCAACCTCCGCCTCCTGGGTTCAGGCAATTCTCCTGTCTCAGCCTCCTGAGTAGCTGGGATTACAGGCACGCACCACCATGCCCAGCTGATTTTTTTTTTGTATTTTTAGTAGAGATGGGGTTTCACCACGTTGGCCAGGATGGTCTCGATCTCTTGACCTCGTGATCCACCTGCCTCGGCCTCCCAAAGTGCTGGGATTACAGGCTTGAGCCACTGCGCCCGGCCTGTTTTCCTTTTTTAAAATTCCACTCCCTAAAACAGAGGTCCCCAACCCCTGGGCCAGTGCTGGTCCATGGCCCGTTAAGAACTGGGTCACACAGCAGCAAGTGAGCAGCAAGTGAGTGAGCATTGCAGCCTGAGCTCCGCCTCCTGTTAGATGAGCAGTGGCATTAGATTCTCATAGGAACGTGAACGCTATTGTGAACTGTGCATGCAAGGGACCTAGGCTGCACACTCCTTATGGAAATCTAACTAGTGATAATCTGAGGTGGAACAGTTCTATCCCAAAACCAACCCCCAACCCCTGTCTATGGAAAGTTGTCTTCCATGAAACCAGTTCCTGGTGCCAAAAACATTCGGGACGCTGCCCTAAAAGAAACAAATATCTGGCCTCATCTAGCCAGGAAGTTCAGAAATATGATGTCTGCTGGCGGTGGTTTGGCCTCAGTTTTAAGAGGGCTGTAATGGACTCACATTGTCACGAGGCCTTTTTTTTATATGCATCTCAAGACAAAACCCCAGAATACCCTTTTCCCTCCTCAATTTGAAATTCTGGTCCATGCCTCCTTAAAGTATGGGTTTGACCATATTCATTCTCTGTTTCCTGGGCTTTCTGCCAGACTGACTGGCAGCTCCTTTGTGCTCAGGAGCCAGAACCCGAGTGAATGTGCTGGAGTCTGTCTGGGAATCTCTCTTATAGCAGCTTCCTCTTATGTGCTGTCCGACACTTACCACTCCTCCCTTGGACGCTGTCTTGCTCCTCTGGGTGTCCTGAGAACTGGAATCACTTACTGCATTCCCTCCATTATAATTCTTCAGTCTAGAGCCAAGGCTCATGTATTCCAGCACTACATCTAAAGCCTTATACTTTTCTTTTGTCCCTTCTCCCCTAGCTGTTAGTATTTAAAAACAATAAAACAAGCTGGGGAGGGAGAGGTCAACTATTTCATTTGTGTTATATGCCTTTGAAAATCTCTCATGAGCTACTCATAGAGGATTTGGGAAAATGTTATCCCTTAAAGGAAAAAACAAATTCCTCTGAACCCTACAGAGTTAAGGCTCTATCATGAACCTAGATAGCATTAAGAAACAAAAATTAAGCTTGGAAGATTTGTTTGAGGTGCTTTATTTAGGCAAGCCTACTGCCTGTAAGGACTTAATCAGTTTCTCCAGATATTTGGGACACTAGCTGGATTAAGGCTCTTTCAGTGCTATTTAGCTGGAACAAGGAATACAAGAGGTGCAGGGCCTGTAAGAAAGAACACATTCGACAGGACATGAAAAGAAAAAGGCTGCGTTCGTGTTCTCTGGGGGACCCTAACCTTTCTCTTTTATCACTTCCCATGCATTCCTGCCCAGAGCTCAAAACTCAGGCATCTTGTGCAGCCCAGAAATCTGAGCAATTGTGCTCAGTGGCTGCATTTTCCCAGGGAGTGTGCTTCAGTGTGGACTGTTTCTGGATAAAAGGATGTCCTGTTCTGAGCTGTCCCTCCCTGAAAGACTAAAGTCTGTTGCTTCTCATGATGGTCTGTAAAGTTCTCTATCAGTAAGAAGTATGCTCTAAACTCACCAAATGTCCAAACATTTTGGGGTTGGGAAAAATGCAAAAAATGTTGTTAAATTAGTCTTATGGATTTGTTTAAAATTTGAAGCATATATACATGTATGTGTGTTACGTGTATGTTCGGTGAGTGTACGTATCTCCACACAAACACATGTGTAAGTGAATGAATAACCACTAGTGAGGGTTTGCAGCTGTATGGAGTGATTAGCAACTTCATCAAGGCTCTGTTTATCCTGCCCTTAGGGTCATTTATAGCTCCTCGGTATACTAGGGACTCTACTGTGATATCTAAGACTGGCATTCAGGCGTATTTCTGAAGAATTTATCATTTTTACTTTTCTTATGATCCTCAAATAACCAAATTTAGGCAAAAAACTAAAACATAGAATTGGGGGGAAAGATTTGCAAAGTTTGAGGGGGTACATTTAAATTTTCTGATGGAGCGCTCTCTCGGTTGCTAATAGAAATTTGGGAAAATGTTATCCCTCAAAGAAAAAACAATTTACCCGCAAAACTTTTGAGTATACTTCCTTGAATAAATCAGGTGGCAATTGGAACAGGATCTCTGCTTTTTGTCTGATACAGGATTGTGTGGGATCTCTGGCCACCACTCTGTAGACCGCTAAGGTAGTGAAGGCATTGGACAGGGAGTTGATCTCAATTTGTTCTGCCTGCAGCACACCTTCTGTAAGCTGCTTGTTTTAAACAAATGCCAATGCTGTCTTGTTTGCTGGTTATAACTTTCTCTGAGAAGCAAAGTTTTGAAGAGCCTGTTAGGATAGTAACTACTTAACACAGAATAAGTAGTATGAATTATACCAGAAGTAGTAAGTGGTCATCTAATTCATGGGATTCCTCTCTGAAGTTTCCTGCTGTAAGCAATGAATAGTGTATTTACATCAGTCCTAGAAGTCATCTTGATTTATGAGTTTGAAAATATGCTGTCTTTGAATGACATTCATTATGGCATACTCTCAGAGGTGCGTTTTCTCTAATGCTCATGAATTAATGCTGATCCAAGCACTCCTCCAGAGTCCTTTTTGTGTGTGTGCCCAAGAACTTCCATTTGCAAGACAAATAGCTGGTTCAGGGACAGTGTGTGCAGCAATGAGAGAAGTAAACTGGGACATGTGAGCGTAGTTGCCAAACCTCAGCTGAATTACACAGTTATTGGGTTTTTGTTGGATTTTGTCTTGTTTTGTTTTGCTTTTTGATTGGTATAGGGAAAAAAGTGTAAAAGTTCATAAGAAAATTATTAAATCCCACTTAGTTTTATGTCTAATTAATTACCCTTTTTAAAAAGAATACAAGAAATTGAGAATGGTCCAGAAATTTTCCGATCCATCTCTTTGAATTCTGACTCCTTTCTGAACCCCTAATCCATATTTCAGCCCCACTTGGATGGTCTTCAGGCATCTCAAACTCAGCATGTCCGAAAGCAAATTCCTCATCTTCTTTCTCAGCCCTCACCTGTGCTTGTTCATGTAGTTTGGAACGTACTTCCCAGCTCCAGTCATTGTGATCTCCCACCCCTCTTCCTCTTCCCATGTAGCAAGTCAGCTGCCTCCTCCTATTAAGTCTCCCTGTCAAATGACTGCCTGTACCACACTCCGCGCCAGAGCCTCTGCCTTGATTCATTCCTTTGTAAGCCCTCCCAAGCCAATTCTACAATATAAAGTTTCTAATCAGAGCTAGCATACATGGTCCTTCTTAATTCATACCTAGCACTAGCCCCAGCCCCATAGCTACTTTCACTCATCCTCCCACAACTATACCAGCCTTTGAACAGGCCATCTCTGCCTTCTCTGCCAAGCAAGCATCGCTTCACTATTTAAGACGTGGCAGAAATGTTGCTTTATTTGTGGAATGTTTTCTAATTCCACTAGTCTACTTAGTTACGCTCTTCTCTGTGTCCTCAAAGCTGTCACCTGTGCCTCTCTTACACAGGATAATTATCTGCTTGTCTTTCTTTCTCTTTTGAAACTATGATTGCATCAAGGACAGGACTGGGCCTTGATCATATATTTCTAGCAATTAATCAAGTTCCTGGTACCTAGCAGGAATCCAGATGTTTGTTGAATGATGAATCAACTGAACTTATGCCCTGGGATATGGTAATAATGTGTTCTAAGTAACTGAGGCACTTAGCCACAAACAGGAAATATCTAATAGCACATGGCTTGAGTAGATGTTAGGGGATCGCCTTTTACCCCTACACCTGTGCACTATTGGAAATGTTATTCCTTAAAGGGAAAAACAAATTCCTCTGAACCCTACAGAGTTAAGGCTCTATCATGAGCCTAGATCACATTAAGAAACAAAAATTAAGCTTGGGAGATTTGTTTGAGGTGGACCATTGGGCCCTTCTCCTTAGTGCTTTCTATTCTGTACTCCTCCAGGTGCATTACTATTCTCTCTTACCTTCCTTCTCTCTGACCCCTTACACATGTTTATGATCAGATATACTTTTCTTTAGTGTTTCTTTTTTTTTATTAACAGCCTTCTCTGATTGATGTCAGAATTTTCACTATTACCACCCAAACAGTCTCAACCCTTATTGTCCTTTCCCCTTAGGACTGGTGACAGGACATCATAGTTCTTCCCCTTCTAAATGATGCCAAAGAGCTCTGTTGTCATAAGCAGTGAAGCCCATTACTCTTTTAATAACCACTCCTGCCAGCCTAGATTTGGGGCTGACTATTCTGTGTTGCCCCTACAGAAGGCAGCTGAAATTCTCAATGATTCCAGCCTGTGTACAGATAAAACAGAAAAGCCCGAGTGATCTGCCAGAACAGATTCTCTCCTCTGCTGGCCATGCTGCAGGGCAGCCAACCAGAGCACTAAGGGTCAGTGGTGAGCTGAAGGCCAGCACTGAGAGCAGCCCCAGGTGTTTAGTCTGATATTTAGTTCTTCCAGGTGAGGTCAGGGAGGGAAGCCGCATGTGCCCAAGGAGAGTATGAGCCAAAGTGAAGGCAAATCCTCCTCTTAAAATTGAGTGAAATAAATTCATCATGTGACATGATGGCAGGTTTTGCTAAATAAGGAGATTTGGGGTTGGGGTTCTCCTGAAGTGGAAAATAGTAAAAATATTAATAGTAAAAAGATAAAAGCCCGCTGTGAAAATTAGCCGTAGATTGAGAAGTAGTTCCTCATCAGCATACAAAATATTCATGATATTGTAAGTGAATGGAATTTGCTTTTTTCCTTCTGCTCCATTATACACTTATTTTGTGTGCTCATTTTAAAAATTATGGCACCAAGTGTTCTTCTGTGGGGATTAATCTATCGCTCTTTGACATTCTTTGGACACCAGAAGATTTGGAAGAGCTTTGATGTCCTTTTTTATAATAGAGCCTTGGGAATCACTTATGAAAGATTTATGTTGATAGGGTGTTAGAATCCTTGAGAACCTAATTTTATGCCTTCCTAACTAAAAATTTGGAAGTTTAGTTTTAATCATACGATTAATTCAGTGCTTTAATTTCCTTCATCTCATGCTTACTGGATCAATAACTGTTTAAGCAAGATTAAGTCTACAGTTAGTTAGCCCCACCCCTAATACCCACTACTAAGTGCCCATGCCTTTGTCTAGGTAGTTTTGTTCACAACCTCTCAACATTTACCAGTCCAGTAGCACCAGGTCTGGAAGCAGCAGAAGTGCTAAATTAAGTCAAGATGGTAAAGTTAGAACTTCAAGTGGTTTGGGAGCCAGAGCCTTATGAAAGTGACAATGGAATGTGATCGTGAGGAGCTATGGAGGGCACCCTATGGTGGTTGAAATAAGACCTGCATGCCAGTGCCGCTGGTTGGGTGAGCTTTGGTCTGTCTTGACGTGGAGGCTGTGGTGCCTGTTCCCTGCCAGAGGGCTGGAGAGCTGGCAGCAGTCAGGGGGAGAAACAGGAGCCAAGGAGGAAGAATGACCCCCTGAGATTGAGGGGAGATATGGCATGGCTATTTATTGTCCCAACTTGGAACTTGGACACGATAATGTCTTGAGAGGACTGTGATTGAGTCCTTGAGATAGATACCAAAAGGAAAAATAATATATGATTGGCTCTTCTTCATTCAGCCACTTCTCCCTGGCTTCACTTCTCCATACCCAACCCTGGCATTACTTTGTATATCTGGATGCCAACACCAGTGTCTATATATCTATAGATCTAGGTATATAGATAGACCAAATCACATATTGAAACAACAGCTAAAGAATGCTTGGAAGTAGATGCCCATGCCCTTTCCCAGTCCTACTTAGAATCTGTTTTAACCTAAAGTTATGGAGGCAGACTTGAAGGGAGACATCCCCAACCTTGCTAAAATGTAAGTACAAAAGGCACAAATTGGATGGATATTGATGATGTTGTGTCTATTGTGACATCATCCATAGACTCCTAGTGTCTTTGCTTTGCTTCCCTATAGTGATCACAACATAAATTACTTGTCTTGTTTGACTTCCTTGTTCACCAAAGTTGAGCAGATTGTGGCCGTTTTCAACGCTTCTACCAGACAAAAAGCTTGGGACCATTTCTCGAAAGCCCAGCGCAAGAACATAGACATTTGGCGAAAGCATTCTGAGGTTGGTGATTTTATTATTACTTTTTAACCACCATCACACAGCTGGATTGGCAGAGAATAGCATGGCTGCAGCCATGATGGTTTCTGTTACAGTGGGCAGTCTGCCTGCCATTGTCTGGTCTCACTGTCAGCTCCAAATGCAGCTGAGATTTGTTCCTTGTCCAGAAAAGCAGCTGACTTAACACTTATGAGAACAGAGTGTTTTTCTCCCCTGCTATGGGAGAAAATAATTTTCCCCATTCATAGTAAAGATCTCAGAAATAAACCAAGACACTTTGCCTAGCAAATTATTTTGAAGAAAAGTGTAACTTACAATAGAAAACTGACTTTTAAATACAGAGGTTTTTTTTTTTTTTTTTTTTAGTGTTCTACGTGATGCTGACAGTTTGCTCTTTGGACAAGTACAACTTTCTGTCCATATTTTCTCATCATAATCCCCTATGCTAGCCAGTTAGTCCTATTACACTTCTCCCCAGAGCCAATGTTGTAAGGGGAGTAAATATCTAGGCCAGCTGGGTCCACCCATCGGCATTCATGCATGTGTGAAGTGTGAGTATCTACCCCCGAGAGAACAGTCTAGAACTTGACCTAGTCACCTAGAAGGACCAAAATGTGTCATTAGTCATTGGTCGTCCAGCTGTTATTTTTAACTCCACAGAGTAGTGTACCCTTTGAACCTGTACTTTAAAAGTAAGTATACTGTCTTTGCTTCTTTTTTGTTTATGAAAGAACGTTTTTCATTTGGATGCCTCTCCATCTCTAGCATGTTAATATTAAAGTTCTCTAAATGATATTCCCCTCTTTCAAAATTCCAAACTTATGGAAGGTAAGGTTTATTTATTAATGATTTTGGCTCACACTTGTAAAATAAGTATTTTATATAGAGTTTAAGGAACCACAGAGTACTATGATATCAATCATTTGGGTAGCATTTTAAGTGCCCATTAGCTAATGCTAAATTACAGTTGAATACCAATAGCACTAGATGTAACATCCACATGAATACCAAATGAATTCTTTATTATCACTGTTATTATGGTGAATACCGAATGACTTCACAATAATGTGACACTTAAAATGCTAGTGCAATTTATTGTTAAGAAGGACACTTTTTATTTTGTTCACTAATGCCTAAGGTGGTGGGTGACTGATACAGTTCTGTTTTTCTGTTCAGGATTATGAGTAAGGAAGAGGTGGGATTTCTGTCTAATTTTTCAGGGGCCAGAAAAATGAAGGATGCTTTCCTGATGTTCTCCCTGACTCTGACCTAAGACCCAGGTCCAGGTTGATTTTCAGGATTAAAAAAGAGTCCTCTGTTTGTGATACAGTATACAAACTGAGGGTTATGAAAATACAAATTGGAGTCCATAAATGATGATTCAGATTTGGGAATGATCAGTCTGTGAATTGTTTATTTCTTCACATAAAAACCAAACATGATTAAAAGGAGTGTGGAGAGACAGGCTGGTGGCCTGATAATAAACCTGAGCATAAAAAGGCCATCATTAGAATGTGTCAGCAAATGTCACTTACTGATCTGAATCACGCTTCCCACCACATCTGTCTCAACTTCTCACCTTTGCTTAGCCCTGCCTCCTCCCGTGGGTACAGTGGGGAGCAGGACGTGTGAACGCTTCCATGCAGGTCTAAGGAAGCCTGCTTGCTTTGCTTGGTACTAGGAGGCAGAAGTGATGCTCCAGAGGGACAGATGGAGTGCAACTGTCAAAGGTGCTCCTGTGAAGGGTGTTTATGCCTTCCTGCTACTCTTCCCACCTCTTTGATATATGTTAGGACACAGAATTCTAAATTAGCTGTGATTTTCTCTCCCGCGTGTCACTTAATTGATTAAATACCAGTTGGTAATTTAACATTGTGGATGATTTCTCAGTTGCGTATAAGCTTGATAATTGGCTTGATTTTTTCCCACATTCCAATGTACAGCATCTGTTAATTATCTGCAACACCTCTACAGATTTATTAGAGTGTACTAGTGATTTAATGCTGAACCAGAGGCACCCTGTGGAAACACCCTCAGCTTTTTTTTTTCCTCAATTTTTTTTTCATTTCTACCACCCTTTCCCACAAGAACAACTACCATATGACAGTGTGTCATTAATCGCAAGGACTAAACAACAGGCCCTTTCAGCCTCATTTATTCTTTCCACCTGACTTTTCCTTGTTTCAAGTGTTTTCAGGCCAACTCTTTGGGAATTGGGCTCTTTGTCAGTAGAAAAATTAGCTGTCCACAGCCTAAAAATTTCCCCACTAATCACATGTGACATCTGCCTCCAATGCCTGATGGTGTTATTTAAGATGGAATTGGCACCTCTTTCTTCTGGGTGGCATAATCAAATAAGGAAGCCTTGTCTGCCGTCCCTCTGGCCTCTTAGATCTGCCCTGTAATTGGTGCCCCTGACCCCACCCCAGACCTTGTCTCTCTGCTTTCCCCCTTCCCTGTCCTCTGCACGGGTGATTCCCAGGGTACATAGTTGATCATTCAAATGCTGTTAGCAATAAATAATTTCTTCTCCATCATGCTATAGTTAAAATCTGTGAGCTAAGGAGAGTAAAGAATTGAGAGAACCCATAACATGAAGTGATATCTGCATGTCCATCAAATGGGCACTGGAACCATGTTTAAAGTCATACCACTAATAAATTAGGTGTAGTAATTTACTTTTATTGTTACTCATATGTTTATTGATCATAAAATGAAATTATTGTAACTTTGACTTTTATTTAGAGACTTTACAGAGGGAAAAAGAATAAGGGAGCCTTTCCCGTTTTAAGTATTTCTGAAGACAGTACATGTAAGAGAACAGAATGAATAAGGAAGGATTCACAAATATGTAATATACAGCTTGATACAAAATAATATAAATATTTAGCAAAAGTGATTACAGTGTCCTGATTTTAGGCACAGTAGTAAGAAATTTACTATATAATTCTTTACTCTTTACAATGAGTTTTCACAAATGCTGTTGCATTCAGACAGCTTTGTATTGTTATTCCTCATTTGTGAGTGAATAGACAAAGTCTCAAATAAATTAAATAACTTGATTGTAGTCACTCCCCTAATAAGTGGAGAAAGTAAGATGTGATCTTAAGATCTGTGGCTCTAAACGTGATGCCAAAGCAACAATTACAACAAAAACAATAACCCCTACATGACCATGTGCAGCACAAAAGAAAAGGCATGTTTGTGTTTTATTCCCTAACATCTTAGTAATTTTAAATTTAGTTATCTAGATGGTGTATGTGTGCTTATATTTGTGCATATGTGATCACACATGTGCACATACGCACATGCAGGGGCACCATGTTTGCATGAGAAATAATAATTTCCAGCATTATCAACTTAGCAAACCAGGTGTCTGGCATGATACTAAGTGTTGTACATGCATTAACTCATTCATCCTCAAAACTATTTTTATCATAATATTCCAGGGAGCAATTTAGTTTAATAGAGATGAAGAATTCTTTCTAATGTCACACACAGTGGGTGAGTGGTAGAACAGTCCTTTTTAAAATTCCACTGTTAATGTTCCTAACCATAAGTTCTAGGTCCATACTGTACATATGCCAGCCATGTAACAGATATTTTTATGTAGTCTTTGCAGCTCTGCTAGGTGGATGTTATTATCCCCTTTGTAGAAACGAGGAAATTGAGACTCAAGAGAGATTAAATAATTTGCTAAAGAGCCCTTAATTAGTCATGGGTGAGCAGGGATTAATCTCAGCCTGACCTTGGTCTATCCTCTACCCCATACCCTCCAGAACCTCCTTTAGGTTAGGTGAGGCTATATTTGGGAGATAAAACCTTTGGATTCTAAATGTTAATATGTCAGTTATATACACCCAAAGACCATTGGGGAAAGTCATATGTGTCTATGACTCTGACATTTGGGTATCCTCTACTTGCAGGAGCTCCGGAATGCTCAAAGTGAGCAGCTCATGGGCATCCGCCGCGAAGAAGAAATGGAAATGTCTGATGATGAGAATTGTGACAGCCCTACAAAAAAAATGAGAGTCGATGAATCAGGTAATGCCAATAACTGCCACAGACCCATGAGGTATCATAATGATCTTCCAAATCTCAGATGGGGAGTAAGTATTGGGAAATGGCCCTATAACTCACTTTTATTTGAATTATACTAAACTTTCATCTTTGAGTGACTCTGCTTTTTATTAATAGAACTTTAAACTCCTTCTTAGGAACAGAGTGATTTAAATTGCTCCAGTTGTTTCTCCATATGTAGATCTGGGGCCATTATGCTTTTTTTCAGGGATATTTGCCTGTTTCCATAAAAATCCTTTTCCAGAGCATGGCAGCCACAGCTGATGCTAAAATATGGATAAAATTTGGTTTTAGTCAGTGTACTTCTTACATGGGAATTGTTTAGTCCCCCTGAAGAAGCTTTCTAGCTTCTGAGCCAAGATGCTGGAGAATTAGACTTCTTTTCGCATAAATCTTCTTTCACCTAACCTGTATGTAAAAAGCTGGCCCCATCTGGTATCAAGCTAGGGTTGTCATTCCTTGGGTTGTAAAAAGAAGGGAAGCTTAGAGAGAATCTTGCTTGGTGTGCTTTGTCTAATGGGAGATGCTAATTTAAAACACTCTCATTGAATTATATATAAATCCATTGGTATTGTAAAAGCAGGCAAGGGAAAAGCTCATTCAGAACATGAGACACCAAGGAAGACTGCTTGTCTGAGTGGAAAGGTATTGTCTAAAGGACCTAGGAAGAACCGTAATTGCCATGATTGCCAAAAAAGAAAATGACAGAGATGGTATAGATTTGATCTGTCTCCTCGTGTACAAGTGAATAAAACACACATTCGTTACAGACTCTTTAACAGAAAGATTGCAGGTGATTAGAAATCAAGGATCTTTGTTAATTTATTAAGAGGCCAAAATCAAGATTCCAAAAGGATCAGGTCACCAAGACGGCAAAGTGGTCAGGATGTTCTGTTTCTCTGGGGCTGTAGAAGAGAATGTCAGGAGTGCGAGTGGCGATCATAAGAAAAAGCTCCTGCATACAGGCATATATAGAAAGGGCTTTAATTTCCTTAAAGTAGTGGTTCTCAGTCCAGTAGCATCAGCATCATCTAGGAACTTACTAGAAATGTAAGTTAGCGGGCCCTACCCAAGACCTACTGAATCAAAAACTTTTAGTGAGTACAGGGGTGTGGGCAAGTGAAATCCCGCAGTCTGTGATTTAAGCCCTATGGGAAATTCTGATGCATGCCAAAGTTTGAGTACCACTGCCTTAGAAGCTTTCCCTTTCACCCTCAAATTCCATTCATTTTAATCTTCCAGAAGTTTAGCGTACAAGCCAGCACTATGCCACTATATTCTGAAGCCATATGTCCTTTCTCTGAAAAATGAACCGAGCACTTATGTGTCAATGATGTATGTCTCCTACTAAGCCCATGTCAGATTCCTCAGGACTGCTTTACTCTCGGGTTTGTTTATTTGAGGAGACCACCTTCCTCACAAGATTTCTATTCTCCAAACCTTCACATAGCAAAAGAAGGGAATCAAGGATTTGTGTGTTTCTTAAATTCAACGAGATCTTCAAAAAAAGAAATACATTTTTTTGTCAAAAGCGCTTTCATCCTTTGTGAAACTTCTGGATGAGGGGCAAGTTGACATGAAACTTGGATGCTTAATATCCTGACAAGGTAGGTGTAGGAGAAAAGAGCTGCATCAGTCAGAAGTTCTGATTTGAACCTGTGGCTTTTTGTTTGTTTTGGTGATGTTTCTTTTTAAATAGCTTGTCAGCTTCCCCAGTAAGAATTGTATATAATTTCATAGTCTGCTTAGCATAGGACCAGAATAATGATGACTCTGAACAGTACGCTCACTGATGAGGTATTGCAACACGTACATGCCTATAGGATTGGGGCTGGCCAATCCCCCAACACCTCTCTTGGTTTATTCACTAGGCATCTGATGAGATCATGAAGTAGAGCCTGAACTTTCAAAACACTTTTACCAGTCTGGTTACTTGATCAGCGGAATTAATGAGCAAAGAGCAGGGCATGTTGTGTACCAGGTTCTGAGGGAAGAGATGAAAGAACTGGAGTTCAAATGCCAGGCCCTGAGGAGTTCAGAGTCTTTTCATACTTTTCAAAATGAGATGGACCAGAGATCATGGCATGTGGTTTCTGAAGAAAGGACAAGACTGATTAAAGGGAAAGGAAGGCAACTAACCTTTTTTATTCCACGGGGGCCCTGAAGATCTGGCCCAGAGGCAGGCAGTTGTCTTCCTTTCAGCCCTGCTTATTTGGGGACACAGCCTGACAGCAAGAATTCCCATCTGGTCTTTTGTTCAAACCTCAGACAAATCCCTGCTAACCGTTGCTTGAAGGGGAAGGATGGAGGCTATAGCCCGAGGGAAACACCTTCCAGTGGCATCTCCTTAGGTGACACATCACTTGTTTTTAGGTACACATTTGCACCTGCCAGTCACCTACATAGAAGCAGTCCTCTCGAAATGTAGCACTCTAATTCACTAACAGGGAATTGCCAGTGCTGAAATGGAATTCAATTCTCCATCCTTTAAGGAATTCCTTGCCAATTTCCTCTCTGCTGCAACAGTGGGATTTTGCCCCAGACCTCCCGGGTAGTGGCTGCCCCAGGAATTCTTGGAAATTCCAGAAGAGAATATCCTTCAGTTGTCACCTCCCTGTGCCATCTTTGGTCCCCCAGGGCCAGCCTTGCTTGTCATCTGCATACTCAGACAAAAACTACCCTGAAATGGGTTTTATTTTGGGGGGCAGGGAGGAGATGGAAAGAATTGACTTGTTTGGTGTTTAGAAATGACTTGTTTGATGTTTAGAAAAGGCATAATTTATTGTGTAAGGACTTGTGTGATAACTTGGGTTTACTTTTTTAAAAAAATAATCAAAATGTTTCAATATATCTTTGCTGTCTTGGATATGAAGAATATTTCATTGTACTTTTGCTTTTTACCACATATAATAATTTGCAATATGTCTTTAGCTATAATTCTCCAATACCTACAATAGAATTCTGGGTGGGGTGTTCACTCTTCTTCATCAATTGAATCTTAAAGGGGAAAAGGAGTTCACTGGAGCAAAACTAAGATGCTGATAAAAATGAAAATGAATTTTGTTAATAAATTTGAAAATGATGACAGATTTATTGAAGCATTCATTCAAGAAGATCAGCATCCTGCTCTAAAGCCTGTGAAGATAATTTTTGATAAAAATTCAAATTTATTTTTGTTTAGTCTGCCTCCTACTGAAATGAGGCCAAACTTTAAAATCCAGATCTGTTCTTCCTTTTTCTCTTTCTGTCTCTCCTCCTCCTTCCCTCTCTCTGCCTCTCTCCTACTCCCTTACCCTTTTCCACTACCTTCCTCCCTCCAGGCTGACTCTGCTGGGCAGGGTGGTATTCACAAGAAATTTAAAAGGAGAAAGGAAAGAGGAAGTCTGTCCTAGATTGTAGGGCCTCAGATGACAAAACCCTATACGTTGTAGTATTGTGAGAGTTAATGAGTCCATGCATGTAAGGCACTTCTGACTTCACTTAGAGTGTTGAGCATCTAGTAAATACTCAGTAAGTGTCAACTCTGCTTCGTCATCCTCCAACACCCAGCCCTGAGCTTTTCCCCAGTAAGTACTCAATAAAAGTCTGTGGACTTCAATTCATATTCCCCTTCTTCTGATGTAAATGTTTTTGATGCCTTTGTCCCAGAAGTTGATAGGAAGATGATAACCCTGAGAACATTTGTTCTGAATAAATGGAAATGGCAAGTATAAAGAGGCATGTTCAAACAAAATGTAGAACTTTATACACACAAAATTCAGTGCCACATGGTGAACAGGCCATGGCCCAGAGAGCTATAGTCTGGCATTGTTTTGATTATCTAATTTTGTACGTTCAAGGTGCTGTGGACCCTGGGCACAGAGAGTTAGATACAGGACACCCTGTCCTGCAGGGTGTTTTAAGTTAAAAAAGTGTTTTAAGTTAAAAAAGTGTAATTCTAATGTTAGGTATGTCCTAAAGCCAGTAAATAAAATTTAGTATAAACCACAATGAACATCACTACATAGTGTGTATGCTTCACCCACTATTTGATGAGTGTACTTTGAACACAAATTTTAGAAGAGTGAAACTAAAAAGTCCCTTGCTCAATAGACAATCATTATACCATTCCATAAAACACAAACAAATGTTTCTGAATTTTAACAACATTTCATTTAAACTCTGAGCTCTTTATAGAAGCAGATGCTCTTAATTACGAAGAATGTCTTCTGAGTTGTCAATTTTTCCTGAAAATTCACCATAACATAGGTACAAAGGAATCTTTTTTTTAACTTCACTAAGAAGTCAAACAAGGACTTTCCAAATCTTTCAGCCACTAAATCAAATTAGGAACTCATAATTAGATTCGGTTGGAACTAGCAGTATCAGCCTATCTGAATAGTTATATATGTAGCTGGAAGCTTTACATTAAAATAATACTAATAAATACTAATAGGGCTCTCTCTGACCATCCCATTGATTTCTTTGAATAGCAGGACAACCTATTTTCTTCTGATTAAGTATTTTCTGCGTGGTAGTGCTTCTGAAAGATCCTTAAAAATGCCCGTCAGGAGAATATAATCAGGCACAGTCTTGACAAGAGGCTCACTGCTACCGCATCACTGGCCTGGGCACAGATGAAGGAGCGGGTTACTGAATACCAGACAGGGTGCGGCAGCTGACTGAAGGGGCCAACTGAAAAGGGCTTTGTCATTCACAGCTGGTAGAAACTTTTAGGAAGCACTGAATGTAACCTAAAGCAGGCTCACTCTAGATTGGCTCAGAACTTGGCAGAGGGTCAAGAGAATTCAGACACTGAAAGTGAGATGGCTCAGTCTGAGACCCCATGTTGGGATCTGAGCTCCAGGCACCAGCAGACCCCAAGGGTAGGGGTGTCTGTGTCGAGTGGAAGCATAGAAGGATAAGCTATATTCACATGTAATGACAGCCCAGGGCACTATCTCCTGAAACAGAAATAGAGCAGT